GGATTACAGGCGTGAGCCACCGTGCCCAGCCAGCCACACACAATATTTTAAGTGAAAACCACAGGTTATAAAACAATAGTATAATCCACTTGATGAGTTATTTTAAGTTTGTAAACAAATATGCATAGAGATAATCTGGAAAAATACGTGCCGGCTGTAAAGTGGTTATTGCTCGCGGGATAAACTGTGGGAGACTTTTTCCCTTTTTGCTTCTCTGTGTTGTGATTTCCTAAAGACAGGGCAGTGGTGTCCCTGGACTGCTCTGCAACTGCAGGCCCTAACAGCCCTACTGTGTCTGCTCACCCAAGTCTGACAGGTGGCAGGGCAGTGTCTGAGGCCCACTGGGGTACAGACGCAGGAAAGCTGGGGTGGGGGCTTCTCATCCCCATCTCTGCAGCCTCATCCTCTCCCCAGCTACACAGACCCAGATGGCCGCTGCCCTGGACTCCTGATGCCGGACCAGATGAAGGCAGGCACCTACAAGCTCACCTTCGACACTGAGGGCTACTGGAGGAAGAGGGGGCAGGAAAGCTTCTACCCATACGTGGAGGTGAGAGCCCCGGTGGGCTGGAGGGCCTGAGGCCCATGACTCACTGGGATCTGCAGGCCAGGTCCTGCTGGCCGGGCATCATTTAGACAGTGGGCAGACTGGTCCTGGGCGGTGGCAGGTAGGTGAGCTCACTTGCTTTGAGCTCCCAAAAGAAAGGTGTCCAGGCAGCAATAGACTCTATGAGGACACACCCATCGCTGACCTGCTCAGGGTCAGGCTTTGTGGGGAGGCTGGGCCACTCATCCCCTCTTTGTTGACACAGGTTTTCATCTGAGCCAACTCAAGCTCTCTGGGCCTAACCTCACTGCCTCACCCCACACTGGAGCCGCCACAGAAGCACCTGACTTATTGGGCTGCAGCTTCTGTGGAGTGTCCCTCTGGTGCAGACCCTCAGTCTGGGCTGCTGAATTCTCCCAGGTGTGTTGGGGCCAGACAGGTGGTTTGCTGCCATCCCCTTATGCTCTCTCCTGGCCCTCTCTCCGTCTCAGGTTGTGTTCACCATCACCAGCGACGCCCAGAAGTTCCACGTGCCCCTGCTGCTGAGCCCCTGGTCCTACACCACCTATCGAGGGAGCTAGAGCGAAGACTGGCAGCAGGAGGCTGCCTGCCCTTTCCCGCACGCTGGCTGCACCCACCCAGCCCTCAGCAGAGAGGGCTTCATGCTCATCGGGGAGCACTGGTGTCACCAATTCCTGGGGAAGTCCTGGCCCCCTGGAGAATCCCACTGGGCGGCTGTGACTCAGGTGTCAATAAAGTCAGTGCCAGCACCTGCAAAGCTGTCCACTTGATGGGACAACAGTGGCATGAAGACAGGCAGCACAGTGCAGCACTGCCCCAGCCCCCAGGTGAGTGCGGGGCATTCTGAGAAGGTGCTGCTGACTGTGGTTGGAGGTGAGACCAGGCAGTAGGCCTGGACACAGCCTGGACATGCACCCAGGGAAGGAAGCGACAGGGACACCACGGGTGAGGGTCCTGCAGGTGGTCCTCCACAGAGCCAGGAATGAGGATGGCAAGAACATGTGAAAAGCTTTCATTTGCTGATGATAAAATCTAAAAAACTTGCTGTCCTTGGTGTGAAAGGGGTTGTCATCCAGAGTGTTCCTAGGCTGGCTGTCTGGGCTGTGGCCCCCCAGTGGGGCGGCTACGTGGGGGTGCCCACCAGTCCCGCGGGGCCCTGGCCCAGTGTCTGCCCGATCACAGCTGTTTCCAAGGGCTTGAAGCCCACGTTGTCCAGAGGGATCCCGAAGGCCAGCAGCTTTGCCTCGTACGTGCGCAGCAGGTCGTTATGGGCCTGTGGAGACAGGGCGGTGTGAGGGAGCTGAGGATCCCTAGGCTCAGGACCACCAGAGCTGAGTGCAGCTCCGTGGAGGGGCAACGTGAGCATCACGGTGTAGAAGGATAAAGCCAAAGGCTTATCAGTCATTTCCGGTGTGGGACACAGCACCAAGCACCTCCACTGCATTGGCTCAGGTAGCACGACAGGGAGAGGCTGTTCCTATTCCCGTTCCACAAATGAGGAGACAGAGGCAGAGGACAGGGACACTCAGGGCAGAGCTGTGGTCTGGGAGGGCTCTGGGCCCTGGTTGGGGGTTTCCCACTCAGGTTCTTCACGCCCTCCCTGCCCCTGTTGAATGACGTCTGTTACCTTCCCTGGTGGGCACAGCACCTTCTGACTCCCTGCCCAGTGGAAGGGGCGGACCAGGGAAGGGTCCAGGTCCCCCCCACACCCATCCCAGCAGAGATGTGGCCTAGACAACAGTGCTGTGCCCCAGACCACACAGAATCCAGATGCTCTCCGCTGGGGACAGTGACAGCTGCCTTGTCAAACGAGGTACAAAGT